GGTTTTATCACAACGCACCAGCTTGTCAGCTTTTCTTTCACTTTTCAGTGGTCACGCTTGTCAAAAATACGAACTCTTGCTGTTTGTCCTGGTCAAGCTAATCCACCATTAATGTCCAAGATCTACAAGCCACAACCTACTGCTCTACATCTTTACTGGGGTAATACTTTTTTGGATCAGACAAAAAACACACAATTGATTTTAATCATTTATTGAATATATTTCTGCTATATTCAGTATCCATTGTCACTGAATGTGCTTTTGTCAATGTAGATCCTCCAGACTATAATGGTGGCTCCGCAATATCAGCATATATGTTGTTGATGGAGGTGGAGAAGGCGGGAATTAAAGGTAATCCATGCTTCTTCATCATCGTTTCTATAAAAATCCCCTTCAAGTTTAAGCAATTGCTTTATTTATTTATCGTACAAATATTATATTTTCTTTTTACTGAATGTATGCATTGTAAATGTTAACTTTTTAYGTTGTATTTCGACAGAATTATGTGAGATATACTGTGGTGCTGATAATCTTTGTACTGTGAGTGGTCTACAACCAGGCAAACGTTACTCATTCTGTGTTCAAGCTGCAAATGAAGCTGGGGTATAAAAAAACTGCAAAACAGTTTATGCACTAAAAACATTGTCGAAATCTGAATTTCTCAAAAAGGGCATCTTTTCTGTCTCGCGTACTAAACCGTASTAAACCTTCACTTCTGCATAGCGGTAAAGCTTGACATTCGTATCATTATATATTGTAAACTTTGATTGTCGTATAKATCCTCAGCTCGCATTTACTTGATTGAATATTTCAATTGTGATTCAGGGGTGAATGAGTTGAAAATCWGAGCCTACTGTTTTTAGGTTGGTAAAGCATCAATTATAGCTGAGCTTAGCACTGCCCCTGGTGTTCCAGATGCACCAAAAGCTCCTGATATATTWTGTAGGTCGGCAGCTGCTATTCAGATCACATGGGAGGTGAGTTATATACCACATGTATATAGTATATAAAGCAAATACAAACATTAGTGAACACATGGTTGTCATCGGATTAGGAACTATCAAAGGTGTTCCTTATAATATTGCCATGTTCATTAGTGCAATCCTAATTCTCCAAAGTATTTAAGATAAGTATTAGTTGTATYAACCGCAATTTTGTTTTGACTGAACATTCCTGCATCTCTCTAGGCGCCATCAGAGAATGGTTGCCCAGTCACAGGTTACACACTAGAAATGATGGAGAACGAGATCTTTGTTGAGGTGATGAAATATTTGAGTTAAAATTCAAAAACACATACATAATTAATGAGTTATTAGTCAATGGAATAATCCTATTTAGTCACATGAATGGACCTTTATATCTGATAAAACACTCCTTATTAGTATTCTTTAAAAATACTAATATAGTAGAGCTGCTAACGTCCAAAAAAATGCTRAATTGTTCACTTTAGTGATAGAAGCAAGAAACTTTGCATGGTTACTACTAAATATGTCATAAACAATTTCTGATAWGGATCCAAGCTTGAAACAGCACCTGTGTTGAGATATGCGCATGGTCTAATATGGTCAGCATGAAAGCGAGGCTAAAGAARGAAATGACTGRTTTTCTGTCTCAACTTCAAAATTTACAATTTAAAATGATTTACTAGTAATCAGGGTGACAATCTGTACCAAAAAGTTTTATAGGCGTGATCACGTGACCTTTATTTTCGAATTTACGAATTATCCTTGGGATCCCTGTGGTAAAAAATCAAAGCACTAAATAAACAATATGCTTTGGTTGTTGAGATAGATTTATGAACAATGAAGTCGTGATTTTGATATTACATTGACAAAATAAACTTATCAGGAAGGAATTGAACTGCTGGAGAACTATTATCCRCGGTATTAATTGTAAAAGTTTTCATTTTTTAACGTTTAGTATGTTTTTATTAATTCCTTGAATTGATCATTTATGCTTTTTCGGTTCCCTTTCTCATTTATTCGGCATGTGTAGTGTAAATGTTGTCATTGTTATAAATGTTATTGTATATATTGAAATGTCTTGGCGTTTACCTGGCACTAGTTCCAGGCCTMATGCGGTATCCAAGATGGCAGCCATTTTGTACTTACAGTCATTCTAGCAGGTAAACTTATCTTTTTTGTTCTTTGMTGTTTAGCTATCAATCATTAAATTAAAGAAAATTACATTTAAACTCTTCAGTATTGTAACTGTAACTATGTTTTCGTATTTCTGAAATATTTTAGGATCAATTTTAGCACTWATCATAACAAAAAGCTGTTCGATGAATTAATATGTATAGGTTGAGTTTCAATGTCAAATCAGCATAAAATTCAAAACTTTAAAAACATTTTTCTGTTACATATATTCGTTTATAGCTCCATGGACTGGAATCTGTGTGTTATATGTCAATCAATCAAAACTGGGGAGTCTTTACAATGCCCTGCACTGTCAAAAAGAAAAGATGTTGGGGCAAGCTATTCATCGTTTGCAAGAAATCTAGAAGAATTTCGAAAAATAAATGCAGTGCCATTAAATATTGATACTGAAGTACTTAATCAAGGTCAAGGAATCGAACAAACCCTATATAACAAAAAGGCCAARTGGCATAAGACTTGTAGAAATTCGTTTAGTAATGATAAATTAGACCGTGCAAAAAAAAGAAAACTTCTTGAATCAGATGACGAGGTCATAAGTACTGAAGTTAACTGCAGTCCTRTCAAAGCAAGGAGATCCAGCCTTTACAGTTTACAATCCAGTAACCAATGCTTCTTCTGTGAACTAAATGACGACCCCAAAAATCTCCATCTTGCTTCTACCCTTGAAGTCGATGAAAAAGTAAGATCATGTGCTTCTCTTACTAGCAACAGCAGGCTTATTGGAAAGCTTGCATCAGGAGACATGATAGCAACAGAAGCTAAGTACCATTTGAAATGCCTTGTAAACCTATACAATCAAGCTAGAAAGGAATCCTTAAGTAGTACTGGAAACACGTTTTCTTCATCCTTTCAGCCCATTGACACAGCGGAACTTGCTTTTGCAGAACTTGTTGCCTTTATTGATGAGAGTCTTCAAGATGAAGAGGCCACTATTTTAACGTTATCTGATCTTGTCAAGTTTTACTCTTCAAAACTCAGTGAGCTAAAAGGGGAAGAAGTTAAAACCAACTCTACGAGACTAAAGAATARAATACTGGCAGCCTTTCCAGACTTGACGGCACACACCCAAGGAAGGGAAGTTATGTTTGTTCTCAGCCATGAAATCGGTGGTGTTTTATTGGAGGCAAAAAAGAAGRACTGTGAAGCGTTGTCTTTGGCAAAAACTGCAATGGTTGTGAGGAGGGAGATATTACAAGTGAAAAACAGTTTTGATGGGAMATTCGYAGCCAACAGCMAGAAAAMTTCAGTTCCATCGTCACTCACAACGCTTCTGGATATGATAATGAGAGGCCCTACAACCAAAAAGGATCCAACAGAGAATCAAGCATGCCTTACTATTGCTCAACTGCTGGTGTTTAACAGTATCTCTCGTAACAGAGACAAGCCTGGCAGTTCTATTCAGCAAACCCATCATGTCAGGAACCGAGAGTGCCCTCTTCCCATTTATACCGCCCTAAAAATCCATGGAACAACAAGAGATAAATCACTGATCGAAACATTCTACAGACTTGGCATATGCATATCCTACGATCGACTCCTTTCTATATCTACTGACATAACTAACAGCGTCATTGRTAGGTATGAAAAAGACGGTGTCATATGTCCTTCAAAGTTACGTGGTGAATTATTTACAACAGCAGCACTCGACAACATTGACCATAACCCTAGCTCTACAAGCGCCCAAGACTCCTTTCATGGAACGGCAATCTCTTTGGTCCAGCATCCAACAGTTGAGAAACCAGGCACAGAAAGACCAGTTGACGTGTTTGAACCTGATCACGCGTGTAATTCCAAGAAAATCGCCAAACTGCCATCCTACTACACTGATTTACCACCATTAGCTCTTCCATCTAATGATATTACTGTTCCTGACACTGCAACTCAGTTTGAGACCAGCGATTTAAGTAGTTTAGCTTCAAAAGAGAACGAGTGGCTAGAACACACAAGGCAAATTCTTACAAAGACAGAGCTCTGCAAAGATGACACYGTCTCGTGGGCAGCATACCATGCTTCACAATCATCATTATCAAATCATCAGCCAGCTATCATATCGCTGCTGCCAATGTTTGCTGAAAATTCACACTCACCTGCARTGATTGCTCATGCCATCAATGTAATCAGTGCATCAATCAAGCACTTGAATCCATCTCAAACTCCAGTACTTGCRGTGGATCAACCTCTGTTTGCCTTGGCAAAAGAAATTCAGTGGAAGGTAATGATAGTAATATATAATACAATAAGATAAAATCATATATTATCTTTAATTGCCATTTAATTACTCGTATAGAGGCATACTTACAATTCTTTTGTAAACCTTAGGCACCAAGTATGATGGATGAAAAGCATGTTGTTGTCATGTTCGGTGGGTTACACATTGAAATGGCTGCCTTGAAAGCCCTTGGAAAGTGGATTGATGGAAGTGGGTTGATAGAGGCATTGGCCAATGCTTCTGTTGCATCGCCCGGTGTAGCTGAATCATTCTTAACAGCAAGCCATGTAACTCGCACAAGACGTGCTCATCAAGTAACAGCAGCTGCCCTTCACATTCTGATGCACAACTCATATACCGACTTCTGTGAGTCTAAAGACACCCAGAGACCAGCACTCCCATTTAGTCTGTGGAGAGATGAAAAGTCAAAGAARCACCCACAATTCCTCTATTGGTCCACTGTACTTGAGTTTCAAATTCTGTGCTTCCAAGTTGTAAGGGCATTTCGAGAGGCTAACTTCCCTTTGTATCTGTCAGCAATTCGAGAATTACTACCATGGATGTTCGCACTTGACAGCCACAATTATGCAAGGTGGTTATCAGTACACTATCGGGACATGTGTGAGCTCCCAAAGAAACACCCGACTGTATATGCTGAGTTTATGAAAGGAGCTTTTGTAGTCCACAAAACAAGAAAGCTATTTTCTTCAATTGCGCTGGACCACGCCCATGAACAAGTCAATGCTGTTGTTAAAGGTCAARGGGGTGCGGTGGGATTGACAGAAAACCCTGCTGCTCTCAGAAGATGGATGGTGGCTGGACCCGAGCTTTCCAGAATTATCGAAGAGTTCGAGGCCATATCTACAGCTGAGAATTCAAAACACCATGAGCAAAAGCCTGCCATCCAAAATGCCTTTGCAAAAGATGTTGTGAGCCTTGTATCGTCTATGGAAGATCTTGGTAATCCTTTTAATGAGAGTGGAGTAGAGCTCATAGCCCTTGACACAAAAGAAATCATGAGTGAAGAGGTTGTCAACACTATAAGAAAAGCAAGGGATATTGGAAAGCAGCAATTTCAAACGTTCCTCAAAGAGAGATTCAAAGAGAAAAAAAAGCCGTTATCGGAACCCATCAAAAAGAACAACTTTCCCCTACTCARCAACAAAACAAAGAAAGCCCCATCAAAAGACAAGGCGAAGGTAGCTACATTAAAAGAGGACTGTGCCCTGTTCTCAAGACTTTATATTGCTTGCCAAAATAGAGATGTTTTTTTTTAATTTGAGAACCAGCCTTGGCCTCCTTCACTTACAAACATGGGACAACTCCGAAGTGGAACGAAAGCTGACTTAGTGACCTGTTTTACGGATACCTGCAACACGACAGTGGTACAGCCAACCCTGATAGACGTTACTGTTTTAGATGGTCCTGTTGTCGTACAGATGCTACAGCCCAAAGCAGTGACCACTTTTGAAGAATACTTTGATGTTATATTTGCCCCATATATYCTGAGGCAGCTGGAAGATGTACAGCGACTTGATGTTGTGTGGGATGTCTACAATGAAGATTCTCTAAAGAAAGCGGCCAGAGAGAGACGTGGTTCAGGTAAAAACAACCATTAACTATCATTGTTAACACAGTACAGTAATGTTTCATTCACGACTGTAAACCAACCGTWTGTTTGAAATTTCAGGTCAGAGAAGAAAGGTCTTGCTCTCAACCAAAATTCCATCAGACTGGAAAGGGTTCCTCAGAGTAGACAGCAACAAGGATGAACTTTTCAAGCTACTGTCTACTAAGGTTGGCATAATCATGATGAAAGTTAAAATATGGATTGTGCTGTTATTTTTAAAAATCATTACTCTTTACTAGGTTGTATTGCTAAAAATTCCCG